TATTCATTTATCTGCATCTAAAACAGAAGCACACACACGTTAGCAGCTTCATGTTTAGTTTCTGACGAGTCGACTTTATTAGGTCTGCTTCTCTCCTGTAGACTGAACTGAAAATACAGAACAAAAGATTTTAACCCTTGTGCTGCATTAGATTTTTAACACCGTTGAGTGCATTAAGGACCAAAAATGGCCACATATTAAACATTGCCTAAAATATATATAATTATTATTTTCCACTTTTACCAAGTTAAATCTCTAACCAGCATCAGTCCTCATCATAACTACAAAAATGTATTCAATTTCAGGATTTTAACCCTTTAATTACCAGTTTTGTTTGCGAAACCCATCGATTTGTATAAGAGGAAAAAACACAAAAATTCAATTATTTTCATAAACTAAATGCAAAGAGAAAACTTTAGATTTGGATTATCACAGTACCACTTTGCAAAGAATCCCACTTAGCGCGTTAGAGACCAAAAATGGCCACCTATTAAACATTGCCTATTGCCTAAAATAAGGTGCATTTCCACCCATAGGAATAAATATGTAGTGACGTCATCTGGTGGAATACACTATATAATGCAAATATAATGCTTTTGCTTCAAAATGAAAGGATGTTTGTGCAAAAATCATGTTTCATGTATTACTGACAGCCTCAGATTTAAACAACGTTTTAATGGGTTTCAATGGGCCATTTTTGGTCTTTATGGTGCTGAGTGTTACTATTTGATCTACACAGTGTGTGTTATACATATTTTGCAAAATGGGATCACATTTTTTACATGTATCCAAAAAGTCACAATTTTGCCAATTTCATACCATTTGCATTAAAACAGCCAAATGGTCAAAGAAATTAAACTGCAAAAGACCAAAAATGTCCCTAATGCAGCATAAGGTTAAAGATACAAATATGGCTCTTAAATATCTCAAAATCATTACAGGTTGTTTTGCTGGATCAACATGAATGTGTCGGTTGGCCAGACCTAAATACGAGCCCTCTTGGCAATATCCCCATCCGTTAAACACGATCACACTGGAGCGTCAGCTCAACTACAGCGATTAATACAGTCATACCGTAAAATAGACCTGTGCGTTATTCCAAGTGTTCAGATTTCTCTGTAGAAAACTGTGTGTGTGTGTGTGTGTGATGTATTTCCTCTCTCTCTTTTCTAGGTTCCAGTGGCCAAGTTCCAGGATCTACGGTACAAACGTTTCTCTAATTTTAAAGGAGATGAATGATATCGAGAAGAGAAGTATTCTGAAAATACAGGACTGATCCATTGTTTACATCAATGTCGAGTGTCAAAGATCAACAGTGGGAAAACGCCTGATGAAAATCCCTCCGGATCCGTCTTTTCTGATATTTGGTAAAATGTATGTAATTATGTAATATTTAGTATTTTTCTGAAAAGTTTGTGTGAATTATATTTTGTACACGCCGTCAAATGTCCGCGCGAAACGAAGCAAAATGTAGATCAACATCTGGGGAGTGTATATTTCTATATACAGTAATAACGTTAAGTCAACGGCGTTCATAAACATGCTGAAAAGCGATTATGCGTCTTGATAGCACGCCAAAAATGGTATACACCATACACACGCTACTTCATGAGATCAGTCTGGCATTTTCCGTACAGAAGCTGTTTTTTCCCCTCGCTCTTGAAGTTGAGGTGAAATGGCGTAACGAAGCACGAAAGGTAACTTAGATCGCACTTCTCGCATACTTTCCGAATGCACACCTGAATCAAAGATGGATGTTATGAATGAAATATTCTGGAACGGAGAGATTTATAGCCATACTGAACGTGAAATTACTGCAGTAACAACCCCGTTTCCACATTTCTAATTCACGACGCATGCTTAAGTGTACATTGAAGTGTGCAAAACTTTGTCCAAAATAATACTGATAACACTATAAGGCGAGACACGGTGACGGCAGGAAAAAACATCGTTTTTGGGGGTTTTTACTGGTCAGTTTTGAGATGTTAGCGTTTTTGTCTTCGGGTCCAAAAAACAATCTGAAATATACATTTAGGCCTTTATTTGGTAACACTTTAGAATACGGTTCCTTCGTTAATGAATAACTACACAAGAACTAATGAGTAACACAATATTAACAATCTAGTAACTACTATTAACTAACAAGAAACTCTGATTAACAAACTAGTAAGTAATAGCACACAGACAAAAGTGGTAGTTCACTATTAAGTAATTAATAACCAGTCCCTCCAGGATTTCGCGGGCCTTTTTTGTGATTGTTGCGTCCTAAAATGCCTGATGTTGCGGCCGCTTTTTTAAAAAGTTGCGATAAAAGTTGCGATGTTCTTCTGCATGTTTTTATGGGTTAAAACGGCAAAGATAGATAGATTTTTACTTAAAATGCCCATATTATGCTTTTTGGCCTTTCCCCTTTCCTTTATTGTGTTGTTATATTTTTTTGTGCATGTTATAGGTTTACTAAGAGAGAAAAGTCCAAAGTCCACCCCAAAGGGACTTATTATGTCCCACAGAAAACACTGTTCATCATCTGCATCTGCTCTATTGTAGTCCAGAATTGACTTAAGAGACAAAGTCACACATTTTGTAACACACGAACAAACTAACTAACCATTAACATAAAAGGCAAAACAAACGATTTAAAGACACAGCAAAACCTAACAAACTAAGCTTCTTTTTTTTTTTAAACAAGATCTGCACCTGCAAAAAAGTCAATGTGCAGAACCTCACAAACATTAAGCAGCATTTATGTTGAAAGATGCCAATACTAATAAAGTGCAAAATACAGTTTTAGGAATAGCCACTAAAGTGAAATGGTGGAAAAATCAAATGTTTTATATTGTTTTTTAATATAGCTAATATAATATAATAAAGCCGCATATCCAATAAAGCTGTTCTCATTTGCTTACTTTTTTTTTTGTCAGACAATAGAACGAGTCAGCTAGCTATTTTTTATGTGTAAAATTTTCTGAATTGAGAGAGTTCGGGAACTGGGTGAACTAAAGGCGCTTTTCCACTGCATAGTACGGTACGGTTCGGTTCGGTATGGCTCAATTGTGGTGCTATTTCCACTGCATGGTACGGTTCGCTTCAGGTCGCTTTAAATGGTACCTGGTCTGTTGAGGTTCCAAGCGTACCGTACCAGTACTAAAATGTGACGTGAAACACTGCAGATCACTGATTGGTCAGACAGAATCGTCACTACTAGCGTCATTGGATTTGCGACACGAGACACTTTTTTAGCAGTATTTTTGTTTTGCTGCCATCAGCCTCATTTTAAACACATTTTTCCGTCTAGCAGTTAAAAACAACCACATACCGAGAATCAGGAACACCATCCCCTCGATAGTCTCCATTGTTCCTGTGTTGTGGGTTTGAAAATGTGGCGCTTTTAAGATGATGTCATGGCAGTGGAGGCGCGCGCAAATAACGATCAGTCCCACACACTTTGAAGGGGTACTACTGCGGTGGAAACGCAAAGGGAACCGAACTGTTCCGCGCCGAGTCGAAGCGTACTGAGCCGAACCGTACCGTACTATGCAGTGGAAAAGCGCCATAATGCACTGTGATAGTGAGTAGCCTATTACAAGTGATAAACACAAGAAAAGAAAGGAAAATAAAATGGTCAAACTCAATTCTTTAAATATAAAACAAAAGAGAAGCAGATAAGTGATAAGTCCGTGGAAACAACACTGCTCATTCGCGTCTGTCAGCTGCCGTGCTGCTCCTCTACTGAACAGGGACGCGGAGAGAGGTGCGACGGCAGGGAGAAAGCAAACCTCGCGCTCGCAGGATTGTGCTGGCAACATTTGGTTACTGAGGTTTGTCCAAAAAGCCGCTAGAGTCGCTTTTTTATATTACTAAATATAGCGACAAAGACTAAGTTGGCAACATTGGCCTTTTCTGTTATTTTTGTAGGTAGCCTAAATGTGAGACGTTGGCAGTCCACACCTGCTGCGTCTTCTGAACAAAACAAGTGAGTTTGCTGACGTATGACGACGCTTTGCAGGAGACCGCGGCGCGATGATTCGTCAAAGTTGCGGTGATTTTTCAAAATTGCAAGGCGCACTGAATTCACGTGGATTTGTTGAAGTTGCGTTAATAGTTGCGATCGCGACATCGCGAAATCCTGGAGGGACTGCATAACTACTATTTTTTTAATACTTCCCTGAGAACTACTGAAAAAGTTTATTAACAATCTAGAAACTACTATTAACTAACAAGAAACTCTTATTAACGAATTAGTAAGTAATAGCTCACAGATGAAATAGACACTTCTGTGGGAGTTACTAATTATTTGGATCCGTATTATAAAGTGAAGATTATTGGAACTAACTAGTAATTACTCAAGTGTTACTAAAGACATTTTCTAAAAGTATACTAAAGTTCACCAAAAATCTCAAACGTTTGCACAAATCATGACTAGATCATGTAGTAACACTTGAGTAATTACTAGTTAGTTCCAATGATCTTCACATTATAATACGAATCCAAATAATTAGTAATTCCCACAGAAGTATCTAGTAACACTTTCATCTGTGAGCTATTACTTACTAATTAATTTGATAAGCACGTTAACAGGCTAGCCATACTAGCGTGTTGTGCAGGCTAACGAAATGACTAGCGTGTTGTGCTAATTATAGCTTTTTAGATAGAAGCTAGCGATGTGAGATAGTGTGGTGATGAATAAGATATAATTAGTGTATAGATGAAGTGTTTAAACTCGGCACAGAGAAACTCAACAATGTTGTTTGCGATGCATCCAGTGCCCACAGTGGGCCGGTACGCACTTCTCACATGTTCCTGTACCGGGGCCGTCACAATTAAGCCCTTTCTCTACTCAGCACCTCGAAATATGGTGATTATCTGGTGTTCAGTTTGTGGACATTTGACAAAACAAAGTTGTGATAAATCATGAAAACAGTTTTTTACAGTGTTGTGACGGACGGCGCTGATCTGAGGCAGAGAAACACCACAAGTTATAACTATAACTATAATGACCCAGCAGTGAAGGCGACCTTTATAGTCTTGCAGGTTTTGTTTTGTCCCTTGAATTGGATTGACTAATTTTATTTTAACAAAAAAAAGGAAGGAAAAAAAGGAATGGTTTAATATAGGGCAGATTAAACATATTGCCAATCTAGACAATTACAGCAATATAGTATTTGTCTATATTATTAATTTTAATTCAAATGATTATATTTCATAGGATAAAATTAAATATTAAGGGATTGACTTGATCGGTAGTGTAGAACCTATTGCATGTATCATTATTGCTTACCCACACAAAAAAAAGTCATAAAATCAGTTTTTTTTTTTATCATCAATTTGATTGTTTATTTACTAGTCAGATTCTCAGTAACAACGTTTAAAAGTTATACTTGTATTCTGCAAGAATGCATTAAAGGGATCAAATGTCATAAATTGTTACACACACACACACACACACACAATGCATTTCAAATAAATTATTTTCTTCCATTTCGTTCCATTTATCAAAGAATTCTTGTACGTTTTTATCAGTTTCAACAAAAATATGATTTACACCAAATCAGCTTGTCATCATAGGAAACACATTTTAAAATATATTCAAATAATATATATTATAATATATCAAATCTTACAAGAGCAGAACCAGATTTATTTGTGAAGTTTCATGGCTCGTGTCTATAAAAATCACAGTTTCATAAAGATTCTGCAGTGCGAAGTTTTCACATTTTTCAACAAGATTGTTCATCAGTCCTCGTATCTCCAGAAAGACGTTGTTTTGTGCGTGAGAGCGACGTGTCTCTGGGGGAGACGTCAGACCTCCCGGTTGGAGGAGCAGGACGCTCTGAGGTGCAGCTGCAGGCTCTCCTGTATCTCGGGCCGGGACAGGCGGCGCTTGAACTCGTCGGTGGTGAAGTAGTACATCACTGGGTCCAGACAGCAGTTCAGACTCGCTAAGCACAAGGTGACCGGATGAATGTGGAGGACTGCGACCTTAAAGGCAGAACTGACGCTCACGCTGGATTTGGCCAGAAAGTCCAGAGGGAAAGTGATGTGATAGGGCACGAAGCAGACCAGGAACACTCCAGCGCAGCTCAACACCATCTTGAACGCCTTGTGCTTTTCCCCGGTGTCCTGCAGCACGCAGGTCTTCTCGCGCAGACTCGCGGCGGTCAGGCACGTGCAGGTCATCACCACGGTCAGCGGGAGAAGGAACCCCGTGAGTTCGGCCACGGTCACGAGGGACACTCCCTGAGCTTTGGTCAGATTCATCATGGGCAGCTCAGAGAAGCAGCAATGAACATCATCGTAGTCTTTCCGTAGAAGAGGGAACGGCAGACACCCGAGGCCCACCAGGAGCCAGCCGAACAAACACCAGCGGCGGTCCCACTGCCTCTTGGTGCCGCTGTACCGCAGGGGCTGGATGATGAGTCGGCAGCGTCTCAGACTGATGGAGGCCAGGAAGAAGATGCTGGCGTACATGTTGACGTACTTCACGTAGAAACACACCATGCAGGCGAACTTGCCAAAAGGCCACGAATTATTCAAGTAGTAGTAAACGCGCAGAGGCAGAGACAAGACTTGCAGCAGATCAGCGACGGCCAGGTTGATCATGAATATCACCGCCTTCTTCGTCTCCTTGATGTAGGCATAAAACACCCAGAGAGCGAGAACATTGCCAATCAGTCCAGGAACCAGAATCACCGTGTAGAAGACTGCGTAGATCTGATGCTGGTAATCTCGTATTGTTGTTGTTTGGTTCTCAGGATTGCAGGTGAACGCGTCGCCACTCATCTTTTCATCTCATTAATCCGCAATCTTTTATCGAGCTCCGCTTGGCATGGCACTGCAGTTCGGGGATGGCACTGACGCTGTTAGACAACTCTCAGCATCTCAGCATCCTCCCGTAAACGCTAAAATACCTGATCAAAACACGCTTATTTAGAAAATCCCAGAGAGAGTCTTCTGACATCGTTACTTCACACACGAGAGGCGTCCGGTTCTGAAAGACAGCAGAGACAAGAAACATTCAGTCTAACATTAGAAGGATGAAGTTAGTCTTGCACACAGTTATCCGTGAACTTCACTAATGCTGCAGATGCATCCTACTGTCCACAACCTAATTCAGAATTAAATCAATTTGTACAAACGCAGCTATGCACAATGTTTTCTTTAGTGCTAATGTTTTATAATTTGTGCATGCAATAAGACATGAATTCATGCATCAGATAGCGTGTGTGTTCACTGACGTCCATCCTATTTGGACTCTCAGTTTAGTTATAATTGCTGGTGTGTGGCACAATGTAAGTACCTTGTCCTGTGGTTTACATGGTCATGTTTCCAGCCAGAGACTTTAATGTTTCTATATCATATAAAACAGCGGTCCACTTTGACATAACTCAACCCCTTCAACCATCAATCTCTCCTCTTCAAGGAGCTTTTAAAGATTTAGAATATAGTGTCACTGTAACGTCATTATAAAAGTACGACTGTAACCTCGGTTCCCTGAGGAGGGAATGAGACACTGTGGGAATGTTCTGCGAGGCCCAGCCCGTCGTATCACAGACTTCTTGAAGTGAAACTTCTGACACTAATGGTGCGTTCATCTGGCGCGAGTCATTTCAGTGTTAAGGCAAAGACGCGTTACGCACGTAAAAATCTCCTGCCATTGAGCATCTGCCGCGTTATGCGCAAATGATTTCGCCTACTGCTTTTTGTGCATACACTTGTTTGACGCGAATTTGCATCTGGCGCCTGAGTTAAAAAATCTGAACTTTGGCGTCAACCAATCAAGAGCCTGCTTGCTGCTGTCACGTGGTGAAGTATCTGGATACTTTAATAAATTATTTTGTAATATGACTAAATGCCTGGTGTGCTTCTAATGCACAACAATGAAAATATTTTATCACATAAATTTCAATATATGAGACATTCAGTTTGGATTGAATTCAAACATTGAAATTATAAAAGTTAGAGTTGCAGAACAGTTGTTTTTATTGTGAGTATCCACAAAAAATAGACACTCAACAGGATCGAATGATGTATAACACTTATATGTGAGATCAAAATCAATCAAGTAATTTGAGTCTCTTTTGCGCTGATAAGGAAAAAAGCGCCGCGCGATAGCCGACCCCAGAGGGTTACGTTTATACAAATAAATAATGTTTATGGGTAAATCTGGGGGTGATATTTGACGCCAATTTAACATTTGACCATCATGTTCGTAACACAGTCAAAACATCATTTTTTCATCTCAGAAACATTGCCAAATTACGTTCTTTGTTGACATTCTCTGTGGCTGAAAAGTTAATCAATACTTTTGTTTTTTCAAGAATTGATTATTGTAATGCTTTGCTGGCTGGGGTTTCTAAAGCTACCCTAAGTAAATTACAGTTGGTTTAAAATTCGGCTGCTAGAATTCTGACTGGGACCAGTGCAAGGGAACACATTACACCAACCCTGGAAAAATTGCACTGGCTTCCAGTCAGTTTTCGTATTGATTTTAAAATTCTCATGCTCACCTATAAGGCCCTGAATAACTTGGCCCCTCAATATTTGCGTGAGCTCTTAACCCCCTACACTCCTACACGTGCTTTGCGATCTTCTGAAGCTGGTCTTTTAACCGTCCAAACAACACGGCTAAAAACTATGGGTGATCGGGCTTTTTCTTCTTTAGCTCCAAAATTGTGGAATTCCCTGCCCTCTTGAGATTAGAAATGCAGAATCACTTAGAGTTTTTAAATCCTCCCTTAAAACGTACTTTTTTAGGGTGGCTTTTATGTGATTGTGTGATCACTGTGATTGTTATTTTATTTGCCTTTTATTTTATTGCTTGTTTAGTTCTTATTGCCTAGACTGTTGTGTCTGTCTATTTCCATTATTTTTTATGTAAAGTGCTTTGAGATACTACTTTTAAAGGCACTATATAAAATAAAGTTTTATTATTATTACTCTGATCTTATTTTATTCAAGTTCACTAAAATAATAATATTTCTTAAAACACAATTTAACTTTACACTGCATGTAAAACTGTATATAGCTATAAATTCACTCTATTAAGCCCCTTTCACACAGAGATTCTGGAAAATACACGGATAATGTGACCTGGCGATCTCAGCTTCAGTGCGGATAGTGAGGAGCTCCTGGTCTCTGCTTCGCTCCAGTTTGCAGACATTTGTCCGTCCTTTCTTTGTTGATGACGAGCACAAACTTTCTTCTAAGAGCAACAGAGTCGCGCGATGGCACGAGCGTCATCACTATGACACACCCCTTACGGCATTGGTCCTGGCTTTTGTTCACACAGCGCGCGTTCCGGGACTGATCCCGGCAATGTTACTAGGTCCTCAACCCGGCATCAGTCCCGGTATCAATCCCGGGTCGTGTTTGCGTTCACGGGCTTAATAAGTGAATTGACAAACTTTAAATGAACTCAGAGCACTTGCAGTTACTGCTTGCTCACAATATCACACACACAGTCAAATCCAATGAGTTAAGCTAACTCCTTTCATTTGAGGAAACCCATTGCCTCAAATCATGTAAGTTTATATAAAAAACAATAGTTATGAGTACTCTCAAATGATTTCAGTTGAGTTCACTAAAAGTAGATATTACAGTCAAGAAATTAAGTGATTAATTAAGTGATTGTTAAGTGATTAATTAAGTGATACAACGGACTTCCAACCACAACAAATCAACTGAAGATAAAATATATTAAAATCTCTGGAGATCTCAGCAGAGGACGATTAAACAACTCCACAAACAGCATTACCAGCTTCACTTATTACTAACCAGTCGAACTTTTATCATGCATCTACAGAAGTTGTTATAGTGAATGAACAGAGGTTTAGATGAAGATGATTGATTGAGGTTCATTTAAAGACACCATGACAGTGGTCAGTGTTTGCTTTAGTTGGGCTCTTGACCCTTGACTTTATAACACCAGTTTTTCCTCGGGCTGCTGTAACTGAGTGAATATAAAACACATTTGTTATGGCACAAAAGCCAAAAGAAAATTTGAACATGTGGTTGTGTTTTGATGATGATAAATCATCATTTAGTGCCTTGAATCTCTGATCTTTGCTAGTGAATAATCTCTGATTAAATGGGTGATATATAACTTGTGTTATTCATTATAAAAGAAGTGTGATTCTGCTGCAAGGCCCATTGTTGTTACAATCAGATTTTAAAAAAACACTATGGTATCTTGCTGACTTAAACAGACATCAAAAATCAGTATATGAATCTCAACAATGGTGACCATTAACAAAAATTATTCGGAAAAATACCAACACGAAATTCTTGCACAATTACAGAATATTAAGTTTTATAAAAAAACTCCCTGGGGATCCTACCAATACCTATCGATCAGAGATATTGTCATTTTTAACAAATGCTAAAACGGAAGGTTCGATATCTCAATCGGAGTTTAAATTCTTGTATTGTCAACATCCGATTAGACCAGTTTTTTACACTCTTCCTAAAATTCATAAGAGACTTATTGACCCTCCAGGTCGTCCGATTGTGGCACAGACCAATTCTCTCTTATCCCCTTTATCGCAGTACGTTGATTTTTTTATAAAACCTTTTGTTCATTCGTTACCATCTTACATTCGAGATTCTACCGATTTCATCAATAAGATCTCTGAGTTACATGATTTATCGGACGCCTCTGTATTGTTAACTTTAGACATAACAAGTTTATATACTAACATTTCGCATGAAAAAGGACTTATTGCCCTCAGACATTATCTTTCGTTACGTGAGGACTCTAGCCCTCCCTTGGACTTTATTATCCAGATGGCTTCCTACCTTTTGAAATATAATTATTTTAGTTTTGATAATGATTTTTTTTTCTTCAGATAAGTGGGACGGCAATGGGCTCGAACTTTGCCCCTAACTATGCCAATCTATTTATGGGTTTTTTCGAAGAAAGTTATATATTTAATACAGAGAATAATCCTTTTCATTCACAGATCATCAAATGGTACAGATACATCGACGACATATTTTGTATTTTTTTGGGTGATCACGAGGATGCTCGAGAATTTGTTACATTTTTGAACAACTTGGTTGATGATTTGGAATTCACCTCTGAAATCAATTCTGTTAAAGTACACTTCCTTGATATGTGGGTACAGAAGAACGAAGGTTGTTTGACTACTACTCTGTTTACTAAAGAGACTGATCGTAACACACTGTTACTCGCTACCAGTTTTCATCCTATTTTTCTAAAAAAAAGGACTGCCTAAGAGTCAGTTCTACAGATTGAGGAGAATTTGTCATTCTGACTCCGACTTTGTAGAGAAATCGAAAATCATGAAAAATAATTTTTTGAGCAGAGGTTACCCTTTAGATTGGGTTGAGGAAGCATTCAATACAGCCTTTAAAAAGACACGCTCTGAACTGTTAAGAAAGAAGACAAAAAAATCAAAAAAGTACTCTTTTCCCCGTATTACAACACATTCACCTAAGTCCTTTATGATTAAATCAATTTTTAAAAAACACTGGCATTTGCTGTCATCTGAGTGATATCTTTAAACATCCTCCTTTGATTGTATACAAACGGGCTAGGAATTTAAAAGACAGCTTAGTACATGCTCGTTTTCAGAGTAGTCCTCGTACATCTCAGAGCCTATGAGCCCTATACAGAAGGGCAACTATCGTTGTGGGAATTGCTCCCAGTGTAACAATACTTTCAAAACATCATTTGTCTGTCACCCTAGAACTGGCAGAAAATATAGCATTAAATCTGTGATCACTTGTGTTTCCACTCATGTGGTTTATTTGATTCGTTGTCCGTGTGGTATTGGCTATGTGGGGGAAACGTCACGACAATTGAAACAAAGAATTAGCGAACATAAAAGTTCGATCAGAAGAAAAGATATGAACTATCCAGTTGCGGCACATTTTGTAACTTTGAATCACGATGTTACTTCTTTACGGTTTTGTGGGATTGAGAAAGTGACTTTGCCACCTAGAGGGGGCGACAGAGAATTACTCCTGCAGAGACGTGAGTTGTTCTGGATTTACACTCACCTAAGGGTATGAATGACGAAGCATTATTTAATGTAATGTTATAGTGAAATATTATTATTTATGTATTTGTTATGAGTTTTAGTGGCTAAGGAGCCCGACTGTTACAATTGTTTGGAAGTACAACTTGATATTGTTGGATAAGGATGTGTTTTTTTTTTATCTATCTTGTTGATCTACGGGGTGACTTTAACTAATTTTGTTATCTATTACAATTTGTAGTTGTCTGTGATGTGGGGCTAATTATGTACTCCTAATGAGCGTAATTGTTTACAGATGGAGTTCTGTGGAGTGGTCATGTACGCATTTAAAAAGAGATGTTTTTGGACATTTTGTATACTCCTGACGAAGGTCGTGTGACCGAAACGTTGTGTGCGAATTAACTTGATTGAAAAGTGCAAGTAATGATAGTGTGCGGGAGTTCCTTATCTGCTTGAATGACTAGCTGGTCTTATTATCTGACGCACCTATGGAGTTTGGTTACTATATATTAAAGATCTACCTATGGTATGTCCAGAGGTCCAGATTCAGGTGTACACAGATGAAACAGTTATCTATGCTAAAACAAAAGAACAAGCTGCTATCAAACTTACTGCTTAGACTGGTTAACACGCACTTGTCTCACTATTAATGTAAATTGATTGAACTGTGGGAATGTTTTGTTTCTAATTAAATAACAATGGTGTAATTGAGCATCAACCAGAGATTTAATTTAATGGAGAAGCAATACATGTTGTTGAGCTTTTTAAATACTTGGGTTTGATTATAGATGCAAAAGGTTTCTAGAGGTGTAAGGCATCATGGCACACATTGATTATTTCACATTTATCCTATTGTGCTATAAGATGGACTCAAGCAAGTGTAACAACATTAAAGGAGTCGTATGCAAGACTGTGGCCAAAACTGGTTCTGCAATCACTAGAGCGGCGTTTCCCGTGATGTATAAATTAATCCATGATCTTCGCCACCACCTCTTAAACAACGTGTGACTCTGTGCCGACAGGGCATCCGTTAGAGGCGAATGTTCGATGTCTTTGGACAATCAGCTTTTGAACTTGACTGAATTCAGTGGATTACGATTGATATTAGGAAGTGTACATCATTCAGTAGTTTTAAAACGGCACTTAAATCACGGTGTCACGTAATTTGTGCGATTTGATATTGCGATAATGTAATTTGGGTAACAGTTTACTTGAAGGAGTGTGCATAAGTCTGACATGACATCTTCATAATCATGACACATGATGTGAGACACTTTAGGGTCTCTGTAAAATCTAGATTAAATACTTTGTTTCAACCCAAGTTTGGGTCAAATATGGACAAACCTAACCGTTCAGTCATTTTTTTTTATATAAAATGTTTAATCCAACGGTCGGGTTTGTCCATGTTTGACCCAAATTTGGGTTGAAACAACCCAGCCTTTCATAGAGTAAAGACACATCTTCACACATTTCGAAAATAATACAGTTTCAGCAGAACCACTAATACTAAACATTAATTGTCATTATTGTCAAAATGCTGCACGTTTGTGTAGAGCTGAATGGTGCAGACACTGTTGGTCCGACTAGTTTGTTTCAGGGAGATGTGTGTGTGTGTGTGTGTGTGTGTGTGTGTGTGTGGGGCTTAGGCATTCGCAGCTGTTTCTGTGTGGGTTTGAAATGGCAAACATGAATCAAACAGGATGAAATTTAGAAAAGATGTCAATGAATGCAATGCACACGTCACCTGATCCTCTAATGCACATCTTACTTGTTGCATACACAAATTATGGTACACTAAGACTAATCAATAATTTGTGTTAACAAACATGAATGCGTTTGTGCAAGTCATTGCACACTCATTGTGAAATCTGTTGTGGATGGTTAGATCTCACGAATAACTGTCACGTACACTGAACACATCATTTGCATTCCTAACCACCTGATTCGAAGGGTTCATAGAGGTGTGTGTGTGTTTTCAGAGAGTGTTGTTTTTCATATTTAAAATTAGGCAAAACTGTGCAGTGCATCCGACCTCTGCACACACACACACACCCCTCAGGGAAAACACAAGTTTTGCTTTGGTTTTTTGGTCTGTATGATAATTCAGAAAGCCTTTTTCCTCTTCGAGGTGTGTGTGTGTGTGTGAGTCGGCTGTGGGTGATGTGTGAATGAGCCGTCATTTGTCTCTGTGTGGGACTTTCCACATTCATAGTGTGCACTATATCACTGCACTAGATCAGTAACCTTCACAGAAACACCCCACTGCTTATTCCAATCACCGAACTCATCCGTCTGCTGGGGATTAGCATCACACGTTCACTACTTAACTACACTAGTGAGCTTGAACTGATAATGAACGGCACATAAAAATGTTAAAAACTGTTGAAATCATACAAACACACACAACCAAACCAGCTGGATCGAGAAGATCTAAATATGCTGATGAGTAGAGATGTATGATGAATATATAAAGTTTTGGAGCGGTACAAGATGGATTAAAATAGTGTTGTTGAACAGTGTGTTGAAATGGCTGTGATGGGGCATAAAGGTTAACAGAGCAAACGTTACACTGAGAAACAACTAATTCACTGTTGAACTGTCCCTGAAAACATACATTTCGTTCCTCTGTTCATGGTAAAGTACTGGACAGAATAATCAGGGAACAATCACCAGAATCTCACCAGAGATGCGAGATCACATCTGTGTTCGCCTCACTCTATTTGGCCAAATCAACTGGAAAATATCGTTTAAGTTCATCTTTTGTGGACGTATATTAACATTAGTGGTCGTAGTCGAGTAAAGGAGAGCGTGTGAAAGATGTGGGATCAGTCTTGTTGAGGTAATGACGATGATCTACACCCCATACAGAAGAGTATAAAGAGTCCCTTACCTTGTTAAGTGAACTTGAATGTTCTCTCTGAAGGGTGTGATGGGTTAGGGTACGATGTGAAAGCTTCAGCGGATCAACGTCTTCATCACAGCTTCTCACCAATGGACACACACTTCACCTTTGAAACACTTTCCCCCGCTGGATTTAAATATTGTATTACCCCGACTGTTGTACTTTCTGTTTCTGTGTGGCTCTAACAGTATCTCTCTCTCTCTGTGTGTGTGTGTGTGTGTGGTTTCCTGTGGGGGAGCGAACAGCACTATACTCATACTTCTGCTATTTTCTCTCAGTCCGATCTGGGGAAAACACTGTCTGATTAATCAAAATAAATCAATCAATAAAATAAAACAAATAAATCATTGTCTGATTTATTTGTTATTTGATGTAAAACTTACTGCTTAAAATTCAGTCAATATCTTCTACTCATGTGATTCGTTCGTTACTGTTGTGCCGGGCTCAAAATCAACGCAGTAGTGTCTCAAAAATTATACAAATGCCCAAACCTCAACATATGATTACAAAAAGTAAATATTAAGTAACTTACATTTTTGACACGATTGTAGTTTTTGCTATTTTGGCATGGACGAGTCCACAGCAGAACTGCAGTGTGTGTTTCCGGGGAAGAAGATTCGCTGCTTTCAGAAATGGGTTGAATAAATGATTCCGTGAATCACTGTCGCCGTCTACTCGTGGTTTCAGTTTCAGAATTAAAAGTAGGCCTATCAATTATTTATTTTTAATCATTTTTCTATATTTAAAATGTTATTTTTAAAACATTCATCTATAAGGCTGTAAGAGCAAAGTTGTGAAAAACAGGATGATATGAGGAGAAACTAGTTAAAAGGTGAAGGAAATGTTCGCTCATCTGATACAAAGCAGACTTGTTCTTGATATTAAATACACAGAACGATGGTGAAGTTTCATTGGTAAACCCACTAGAACTTCACAACAGGAATCAGGACGAAAGGTATAAATGTTGTTACGATTGAATACATTCTGAATTACTCTGCGATTATTTTCTCGAGTAGATTAAAAGGATTTGAATGTCACCGCAATTTTTTCTTCAGATTAGTGACGACTAATATTTGGCACTAATTCAAGTGTGCTTCTTTTGCAGAGACGAGATATTTCCGTTTAGTAAACGCACCGCTTGACCACTTGGTGCGTCTGTTTTATTTTAATGTCACTTTAGATGAGTGTTAGACCATGCTTTATTGAAGCATTATGTATTTTTCTAAATGTCAGGTTTAACCTACATCTTTTACTCATGTGATGTTACTGTATTGATTATACGTGAACTGATTATGAACTAATTGCATTAGTTTAAGACCTTTTTATCTACCTAGAGACTATAGGCGGTTTTCCACTGCATGGTCCGGTACGGTTCGATAAGGCACGCTTTGGCCATGGGTTCCCGCGGGGTTTTAAAAAGAAGCCTTAAAAGCATTGAATTTATTAATTTTGAAAAAAAACCTTAAAAAGACTTGAATTTTGAAATGTAAGTCTTAAGTAGCGATGTGTCCTCCCGTATCGTGGCTTCGAAGCGTGTGTCTCGGTGACGTTTGAAGCCTCGCGAGCCGACTGTACCACGTGACTGCGGTTTGGCGGTCTATTTGAAATATAAGGAATATAAGAAATGTCGTTGTATCATAAAGACAGACACCATATAAAAGTTTATACTTTATGTATAAGCATCACAAACATCATTGATTAATTCATTCAATGCTTCAGACACCAAAGCCATAGTGCCATTATAATCACACTGCACGTTTTACATGATTAGAGAGTCTTTATTGTCCTATAAGGATATTCTTTTTCACACATATCATTTCACACAGCCTCATACATCTAACATATAACAAAAACAAAAACAACAATGTCACCGGAGTTTGTTAAGTGCAGTGATTGCTGAGGGTATAAAACTTTTCTTAAAGTGCGCTTTTTCCAGTCCAGGGCTCTGTATCTGCGGCCAGATGGGAGTAGGGTGAAGAACCGGTTCAGGGGATGGTCAGGGCTGCTTACTATAGTGCGTGCAAGGCGAGTGGTGGCTGTGTCATTTGCGTCTGTGAGGCTGGGGGTGGGAAGCTGTATTATCTTGGATGCTAAGTGTGAGATTTTAATGAGTTTGTTCTTGCTGGTGACATTTAGTATGGTGAAGAAACAGGGGAGCAGTAGAGTAGAAGGGGTTGGATGATGCTTTTATAAAGTAGCAGAAGAAGATGAGGGGCAACATACACTGTAAAAAATGATTTTTTGGTTAAGTAAATACAAGTGAAAAAACCCAATGTAATTTACTTGAAAAAGTTAGTTCAGGCAAGAATTTAAAAAACTAAGTAAATTCCATATCAGTACTTATTTAAAGCGAGTATAAATGAAAGTGTAATATCAACTCAATAAAATTAAGTAAAAATTACTCAACTTTTCTGATACTGGGGTTCCCATCATGCACTGGACCTTGAATAATTAATGAGGCTCATTTTTCACTGGTTTCCAGCTGTATTTACACTGTTTTAACATTGATTTTTGTTTTCAGTATTAGTAAATTGCCATTTTGTGACATTTCGAGTAAATTTTTTGCTTAAAACGACACATTCAAACACAAAAACGATCCATCAAATGTTACCACCATTGTGTATTGTCTACCAAGTATTGAGGTGTTTGCATTCACATGAGGCTTAATGTCTGACATGATGTATATATAAATTACTTAGATGATCTAAGTAAAGAACATACTATAAATGACTAATAAAATTCAAGATAATTGTTTTAGTGAAGTGTAATACAAAGGCAAAGGAAATCGATATTAATCAACCTTTTACAAGCCGAGTTAAAATTACTTATTTTTTGTAAAGTTTACTTAATTCCACATTCCAAGTAAATTTAACTTAAAGATTTCTAATTAAAGCTACTGATCAATATGTTTAGGTTTTTACTTGGCAAATCTTTGTAAATTTACTAGCATTTTCTGAGTGAGATCGTTTAGCAAGGTTTTTTCAAGTAAATCCTACTCCAAATTTTTTACAGTGTACAGTGATCTTAGTTTGCGTATTGCATACAGTCTCTGTTGTGCGCGTCTCTGTATAATGGTGACATGTTCATTGAAGTTAAGCTTATTGTCAATGATGAGACCAAGATATTTAAAAGTGCTGACCTGTGCAACTGGTATCAGTGATGGTGGATACTCTCTCGTCCAGTGTACCCTGAAAAATATCCCAGTCCGTGCAGGCTAGAGAGCCCTGTAATTGCTCAATAGCACCCTCCGACCAGAGGGTGACGCTGTGGGTTGTTGGTTTGATCCGTTTCAGTTTCGGTTTGTACCGCGGGAGGAGGAAGATGGCGTTGTGATCAGAGAACCCGAGTGGCGGGAAGGCACGTGCGGTAAAGGCATCAGCAACATTGCCGTAGCACAAGTCCAGCGTGTTCTCCTTCCTCGTTGGAACATCCACGATCCGGTGGAAGGATGGCAGAACATCGCTGAGTCTGCAGTTGTTAAAATCACCCAGGATAAACACCGGAGCCTCTGGGTAGGCGGCTAGCATGTTGTTAGCGTTGTCGGCTACTAGCTCTGCTGCTATCCTGGCGTTGGCGCTCGGGCAGATGTAAACACAGGTGACAACCACCGTCTGGAATTCTCTCGGGAGGCTCAACGTCATCATCTCCACATCTGGTGTACAGATCTTGATGTTATCACACCATCTGTTGTTGACATAGATGCAGATCCCACCACCTCTCACTTTGCCTGACTGATGGGTCCTGTCAGCTCTTAGGATGGTGAATGATCAAGGCTGACCTCAGACTCCGGGACCTCCTCATCCAGCCAGGTTTCGGTGAGCGCGATGATGCAAGCATCCCTATAACCCCTCCCCATGGAGCACTTGGCGTGCAGCAGATCCATTTTGTTCCTAAGCGAACGGGGGGGCCTGAAGGGACGCTTTGGGAGTCTAGTTCTTACCCCATCCTTCGCCTTGGTTTGATCTCCGGTGGGAGTGCAACTGGTGGTTGTTGCTGACAGAGTGCAGAGGATCGGAGCTGAAGGAGATCCGCCCGGCTGTAGGTGAGTGGACTCTGGTCGTTAGTTGTTAATGCCAGCGCCAGGTTGTTGTTGTGTATAATCCATGATGTTATGAGCGCGATCGCGATGAGTGTGTGTAAGTCCCTCATTCTTGACAATCAGTAGAACGATGGGTGGACAAAGACGCAGACGCTAGTTAGAGCTTCTCAAGACAAATACTAGACATACTGGTACAAACAAACCGACAGTAGACAGAGACGTGATGCCGTCATGGGACAATGGCTGACTGTGTGTCGTCGCAGCAGAGCATGCGCCGATGTGCCGCCGTACATCTATTGTCCACTAGATGGCACAATAGAGCAAATGAAGCAGCATGAAGCTTCGGCACACGAGTGAACCCATTGGATGGAGCGCTTCAACGCTTTATGAAGCTTCATCTCACCAACACTAGTCTTAAAGGGTTAGTTCACCCAAAAATGAAAATTCTGTCAGTATTTACTCACCCTCATGTTGTTCAACCCCGTAAGACCTTCGTTCATCTTCGCAACACAAATGAAGATATTTAAGCTATTAAGATCGCTCCTGCATACTAGTCCATAGGCTTCTTGAGGGAATGACTCTTGCTGTCCTCGAAAAGTCATTAAAGACATCGTTAAAATAGTCCAAGTGACTACAGGGGCTCAATCTTAACTTTATCAAACGACGAGAACACTTTTTGTGCAAAAAAACAACAACAAATATAACAACTTTATTTCAACTATTCACTTCCTTCTCCATGAGCCTGTAGTCAGTTAACGTAGTGTGATTGCGTAAAGCTACGTCACACGAAGGCTCACTATTGGCCGACGCTGGTCATGTGTGTGATGTGTGTGACGTACAATAACAGAAGCTTACGCTATTAAACTAGTAACCTGACTCGCGCAGAGGGAGAAATAAACCAATAGTTGAAATAAAGTCGTTATTTTTGTTGTTTTTTTTGCGCACAAAAGTGTTCTCGTCGTTTGATAAAGTTAAGATTGAAGTCACTTGGACTATTTTAACGATGTATTTAATGACTTTTCGAGGACAGCAAGAGTCATTCCCTCAAGAAGCCTATGGACTAGTATGCAGGAGCGATCTTAATATCTTAATTTGTGTTGCGAAGATGAACGAAGGTCTTACGGGGTTGGAACAACATGAGGGTGAGTAAATACTGACAGAATTTTCATTTTTGGGTGAA